GAATAACAATGCAATCCATATCATGTATGACGCAATACCAGGTTCAGATTGCATCAGTCATCGATTTATTCATAGATCCAGTCAAAGATTTATTTTTTGTAATTTCTGGTTTAAATTGAGATCCCTTCCCTTTATAACTCACTAAAATTCCGCCATTCCCAAGTCAAGGGGTCGTGTCTACAGTCCCAGTAGGATATCTTGAAAACTAGAGCCAATCAACAATTTTAAGCATCATTTTCATTCTCAGTGACCCAGCATTAGTAAAGTTGGACTATATTTATTTCGGAAGCATTTTGGCTGTACACCAGTGTTATCAGAGCATGTTCGTATGCATGTTCACCACGAGTTCGTGTGGTTAACGCAGACGTCATTTCTTGCGAAATGAATCTATTTGGTGTTTGAACATCTTAGCGCCTCCTGTTTTATTGCCAGAAAGGGTAAAACCCTTTTCTTGTTTTTCATACTGGCAAAAGGGTCACACGATACCCCACGCTGTCAAACTCAATGGTTTGCAATGCTTGACGGCTCTCACACTGGCGGATGTCTTATCGGCGAAAGTGACCCGCCTCTGAAAATTTGTGAAGATCGCTGCCAGGAAGAGACTCGCCCCCGACAAAGGAATGAGGAATGTCCACCGCTCTCGTTCAGAACTGCAAACAGGAGGTGAGCACCAATGCCCCAATGCTCATGCGAGCAGTAAATCACTGTCGCTTTGTAAACACACAACACATGGCCACGGTTTGTTGATGGTAAGAAATGGCCACAGGTGAATGGCAATGCCTTGCCCTCTAATGTCGCCGCGTGTGCAATTCCTTTCAGTGGATAGCCGCGCGGTGACTGTCAACGTGTGGCGACCAGATGTCAACCCCCTCGCCTGGTATACAGGAGGTCGTGGGTTCTATCCCGACTCTGACGCCTGCTGTATATTTGGAGTTTGCGTGTCTCTCCCTCGGTGGACGCGTGGATTTGTCTCCGGGTCCTCCGGGGTTTTGCCCTCCACATTTAGATTAAACGTGCGTTTCGAGTGTTCGGTTTGCTATACATTCCCACACGATCGTGATGACCGAAAAATTACCCCAAGCCGTATGCAGCTTAGCGGCTACTTAAAGGTAAACAAATATCTCCGATCTGAAGAACGAGGCCTCCGCGGTGATTGGTCGGGAGGCAGACTTTTAAAGGGACTGGAAAGTAAGGATTGAACGCGAAAACGGCGAAACAGAAAGGATCCGTTAAAGGGAATGGACAGGGATTGGCCAGAAGGTTCGAGAAAAGGGAGCTGAGGAATCTACAAGGGGAGAGCACGAGGAGTGGGGAGGTTCGGATGAAGATACAAGCAGGAAGACAAGAACGAAAAACCTAGGGTCCCTTATTGTGGAAGTCTTTCAATAAACGTGGCTCTTCTTATTTCGTTGTCGTCGGAGTCGTTACACGGTGATGGGTCACTCGGTCGAGCTATCATTTGTGACGGCAGCGGTCGCTTCCGAAGAAAGAGCTACAACGGCTCGAGTTGGCCTTACCCGCGGAGAAAATCAAGAGCGGTCCGTAGTGGTCGCCGTCGTGTGCGCGACACGGAGAATCATCGCAGGCCACACGGCGAACAGTTCCACGAGAGTTTATTGTGGACGCCCCCCCCCCCGGGAGTGCCGCGCGCGACGACCGATGGCTCGCCAGGCCGCAGCGGGTCGGGTGGAGCGCCAACAGACGGACGGCACTGCCGGGGGGACGCGGAGCGTTCTCAGACAAAGTGAATCATTTGGCGAGACAACGGGGTCAATAATTATTATGTTGCAGTCCGCCCACTCGTGATCGCCAAGAAGTACTTTTCGATCCCCGCCGATTGCCTCGACTGCAATCCAGCCTCTTTTGGTTCTATTCGGTAAAGTCACGTAGGTAAAAAAAATAAAACAACAGAAAATCACGACGTTTCGGCCACAACACAAGCGGCCTTGTGCTGTGGCCGAAACGTCGTGATTTTTTGGTTGTTTTATTTTTTTACCTACGTGACTTTACCGAATAGAACCAAAGAGTGTGGATCCTTGCAGTCACGAAAGCTTCAAATCTAGAATTACTATCCAGCCATCCCGCCCGATCTCGTCGCCGAGTTGGACGACGGCAGCGACGCGCCGCCCGCCCAGACTCGCGACAACAAGCGCCAGCAGCAGCAGCAGCAGGCGGCGATCGACACGACGGGCGCCACCCCCACCGGCCAAACGCAAGCCCCGGGGGGGCGTCCGCCGCAGTCGCGCGCGGCGACGCCGCCGCCCTCCGGGGTCAGCCGTCGATCCTCAGCTTCTTTGCCAAGGCGAGCCCCACCGCCCCCCCCCCCCAGACAGTGAATTTAACGTGTTTATGTAATTTTTAAAACTTTTTACGAAACTTAGTGCCCCCGAGTAGCTCTGGACGAGGCCGATCGATTGACCACTAGTTTTGTTGTTGTCGGTAAGGCAACAAGACTCGTGTCGCTACGCGGGTTTTCCCACCCCGGGGCAGTGATGGGACCACGGGGTCCCGCCAATTGCTTCAATTGGCGGAGACAACGCGACATCGACTTTGCTGTCGTGAGACCAGGGGGTCGGCAACCTTTCGATGATGATGATGATGAAAATGATGAAGAAGCATTTCTTTCTCATCTTTGACCAAAATAGTTCGAGAGACGCATCACACGCGGGTAGCTACTTGTACAACACGTACACAAACACAGCAGCGGGTATACAGCAAATGACAACACACATTCTGACTTAAATAAACAACAGAGGTGATGGAATAAACTGTGTATTTTTAGATTGTTCCCACCCCCTTAGTTATTCCCTAACAACACAGTTTGACTGTTGTACATTTTGTTATCACCAAACACATTCCAAAGTGACCCATTCCCTGCCATATTTAAGCTATTATCTTTACGTTTAAGACGTACGCTTTGTTTAAAAAAAACGACTGCCCTCCAGGGGACAGCCCAAATAGCCGCATGCGGCCATCTGGAGGCGCAATTTGCCGAGCCCGGCATTAGACCGACTGCGTCGCTTCTCTCAGATGCTTCGTTCGGGTTGTTCGACATGTCGTCCGACGCTTCGCGCCGCGTGCTTCCGCAAGGCACCCCGACAGTGCGTGCTTTATTCGCGCTGAACGTCTTTCGCGCCGTACGTAGCCAGCCGTGCTAACGGGCGGTGCGAAATTCAAGTGTTACTGAAGAGGCAACGCGCCGTGCGACCAGAAAATAAAATATATCAAAGAGATGCACGCAACCAGACTTTCGCGGATTCAGAATCATGCGCCGGCCTTCAATTCAAACGGACAGGGTCACCCCTCGACGTAGATAATATTAATGTTAACTTGTAACGCGCTGCCGCGCAGCATTATTCACTCGCTCCACAAGAGAGAGGACGACTCAGAGGCACAAGGAGCCACAGGCAAGCAGGAAAGGCAGCAGCAACGCGGCGAGCAAGCGCCAATAACTGCCCCAAGCTCTGCAGTTCTCTCGATATAGTTCAAGGTGTTATCGGCCAATTCATGAGTGTTTACGTGAGGGAGGAATGCGGAGCGTCCGGAGAAAGCACACGCGTGCGAGAGGGAAACACTCTATCCCATATAGACGGAAATTCGTTTCTTTCGCACTGCTTTTTTTGTGTTCAGTGTGTTGCCCTAACCCCCCACCTCCGAATAAGCGCGGTTGGCTACGTACGGTGCGAAAAAAGTTCAACATCCAAACATGCGTCGGGTCCACGTTTTGCTGCGCTGCATTCCCCTGGCGAGCCCGGGGTATACGACGCATCCTCGACGCCCACGGGAAGGGAGTTTCGCCACATTTGTGAGATCCGCCAATGGGCGCGGCGATTTGGCGCTGACCATTGACGTGAATTTCAGCGTGGAGCATTCGACACCGTGACCCCCCCGCCCCCCCCAGACGCGCCACGGAGCTACGTGGCGTGCAGCAGGAGGCAGTGCTGGCAACATGCCGTGGCGTACGCGCATCAACCCACATTCTGTGCTCCTCCTGCCTTCCACCCCGACGCACCTCCGATGAACAGCGGTTCGCAACCGTACGGTGCGAAACGAGTTCAACGAAACGAGTTCAACGTACATGCATTACAATCGCACTGACGAGCGTGGAGAGGCACGGTAAAAACGATCCCCCACGATCCGCACGGCGCGGTGAAGGCTTCATCCAGCGGTGGATTGATGAAGGGCTGTTCATTTGCACGATCTGCACGTACCACGGTCGCTACCGATAGCGATGCAGTTTGTCTCACAATTGTGGGTTATAGACGATGTACATCGTATACGGGGCATCTTAACTACGGAGTTCTGGGAAGCCACAATCAATGGTCTTGAATTGCCCCAGCACGACAAGACACACGCCACATGTTCCCTGCGTTAAAATAGACACCACCATGCACGAAGTGTTGCATTGCATCGTCACATACAGCTCCGGAGCCATTGTGAAAACAATCGTCCGCGTTGGTTTTTACACGTATACAGGGTGTTTAAAAACGATGGACCCATTTTAAAAGCAGTATATTTCACGATGGCAACATGTTACAATTACACGAAAAGTTACAAACGGTTTAATGAGTTATCAAGTTTTACTAACCATTTTATAGATGCTCTACGTGCCCTCCACCTGCTGTACGGGCAACATCGAGACGATAGTTGAATTCGTACCAAACGCCTCTCTTCTCACGTTTTCCTCTGAGGTGCGTGGTCGCCCTGTGCTCTTCTCCTTACATAAACAGCCTCCTCAAATTGTCGGTACCAACGACGAACGCTCTTTGACATTGGCGGATCAATGCCAAAACGCCGTTGAAACGCACGCTGCATCGCAATTACGGATTCAGTCTTGCTGAACTGCAGAACGCAAAACGCCCCTTGTGTTGCGGGGTCACCGTCTGGCGAATGACTGAGGCTAGGGGCTGTTTGTGCACTGGGAGAGGCATCTAGCGGTCATCATTTGAAACTCTATGCCCCGCACTTTCAAGTGGTAAGAGTTTCATTCATGGGCGGTTCGTGGTTGCAGAGATATAGCGATTTCAAATCGGGTCCATCCGTTTAAAACACCCTGTATATAAAAACAAAAATCCTGAACATTTTCGTTTATGCTGCAGTACAGGATATGAAGTACTGCCTCGTGGTGTATTCAAGTGGCCACGGAGTCAGAATAAGGCACATTGACTAGGCAGATATGTTAAAACGTGACAGATAAAACGAACGATACTAACGATATTTTTGTGCCAGTTAAAAGGGTAAAACCTATTCCGATACTAACGATAGTAAATCTCTTCAGCACGATCGAGCATGTTTACAGCCCTGAGCATTCCTATCACAGGGGGGGGGCGATTTTATCCAAAGGACAACCACCAAGACAACATCGAGTATTGATATTATGTTTATGCCAGATATGACGTGAATTACAGACATGATGGGCACCGCTGAGAATTTAACAACGGCTGACAAGTTCCCGATGAAGTGGGGACAAAATAAAACGGACGATATGGAATCAACATTTGGGGAACAAATAGTGGAGCGCGTGGATCAGGGAACTAAACGTGATTTCCGGTACGTGCACGACGGGTTGAAGTGGGGCATAGTGGGACTGAGCAAGGCATGGTGTCGGCTATAAAGGAGGAAGGTTGGCCGATGGATGGGGCTGGTGATGGAATGACAGCCAAAGGAGGAAGCTCTCTCGAGAGCTCGACCACCGCGGACGTGAAGCAGCACGGCAAGAAGTGGATGTCGATGTTTTTTTTTTAATATTATAAACTCAGCGTTTCGTGCTGCTCTCAAGTGGGGTATGCACATTTCACGTTTTCGGTGGCGAGGTTGTTAACTCCCTCTCCTGGTATGCAGGACGTCGTAGATTCGATCGCAACCCTGACGCCTGCTGTATATTTAGTTTGCATGTCTCTCTCTCTCTCTCTCCCCGTGGTCCAATGTATGTTTCACTGGGTCCTCCTGTTTTCCCTCCACATTTAGAAACATGAGTTTAGAGTATTCAGCTGCTAGACATTTCCACGCGATAAGCCACTTCGTTGAGCCAAGTCTCATTCTGAAAAAAGAGCCACATAGCTCAGTGGGCCTTACCTGGTAAAATAAAAAGTTCAGTTTAGAAGGTGTGTCTGTCCTCATTGTCTCTAAATGTATATCTTCATTTCTCCGTGTCTCTTTTTCTCTCTCGCCACGTGTGTCTGTCTCGAGCACTTTTTTTTTCCTCGTTCGCACGACAGCCACCTCAGTGTTGCGACATCGCTGCTCCGAATCGTCGGACTTCGCACGGAGATATACCGGTTACTCCCACGTCCCTTTAATTCGGCGCCTCATCATCATCCCGAGCGCGTTGCCTCCTGGGTGGTGGTGAGCTCTCTGCCCACCCCGCCCCAACACCCCCAATAGGAAGGTCATCTCTCACACGAGGTGGTGGTTGTGATGGTGGGCGTGTGACGCGGGTCGGCTGGAGTTCCAGGGTGGAGGATACACGGCCGAGAGGTAGGGGCCCGAGGGAGACCCCTCTTTGTCCGGGATCTGTGGGGACATGAAAGGCGAGTCCCAGGCGCCGGGGCCTTGGTAATCGATAGTTCCTGGGTGTGAACTCAGCCACGGAACGGGTGTCTCTCCGCCGCAGCCTCCCGACTGCTTGAGGAGCTTCTTATACTTGGAGCGTTTGTTCTGGAACCAGATCTTGACCTGCGTCTCGCGGTCACACGTGGGCGAGACCGCAGACAATGGAAACGTATCAGTGTTTTGTTTCAGCCGGAAAAGTCCGAAACGCTGTTCCGGGATTTATCTGCACGACACATCCATCTCGCCATATTTTGTGAGATATGTGTAAATACGTATGTTCACTGGATTATAGGAACGCAGGGTACAATTTTGTATAGCCGTCCCTTGTACCCTAGTGCTGGTGCCTTACGCCCATAGGACCTACTCCATGCCAGCCTAGCAGCGTTCCAAAATATTGAGTGAGATATCAAACCCTTGAAACCATCACAGGACTCTGTTGGCAGTACCATGAGCGGCATACGTTACGAAAGGATTAACTCACCGCGTTTGTCACCTCCAGAGTAACGAGCGTAAGTAAGACGACTTCGTTTTATATACAGCATCATTCACACAAGGCCTCATAGCGCTTTACAACACAATCCCGATAAAACAAAAACACTAAAACCCATTAAACATTAAAACTAAGAGGGTAAACAACTCTGCACGGACGGACACGCAAGCGAAAATAAGCGTGTTTTCAGACGAGCCATAAAAACCTCCACTGACGGAGCGTCCCAAACGGCCTGGGGCAAGACTTGCCCCAGGGTGATAGAGAAAGCCCTAGCACTCATTTAACGCAGAGGGCAACCCATCCTATAGGCAGGGCGACTTTTCCCTGTCGAACCCGACCTGAGACAAATTCATAACTAGAGTATCAGTCACGCTCCTGCTATCGGCAGTTATTACGTTGACGACAAATATGGAACGAAAACTGAGAAGTGATCCACGTAAGCATGGGGAGACGCGCGCTTGAAGTTACATTGGCGCAGAAAGAGGAGCACGTGGATTTGAGAACATACGCAGAGCTAATGACATCACCCAAAACGATGTTAAGAGGAGATGGAGCGATGAAATCAGTTCATGCGCAGGATGGCTTGTTTGAGGAGGCCATCATCCAGCAGCGGATTTATCACGGCTCATCACCATGATGATGATAATGAATGACGATCGTGGTCAATTAATATATTTACATACACGGGACATTGCCAAAGTTCATCATTTTATTGTGGCGTGCAAATGTAAAGCCCTGTTGTCAATCCACTGCTGGATGAGGGCCTCTGCACACCGTGCGGGTCATGGAGGTGACTGTACCATAGTTCACCACGCTGGTCTGTGCGGGTTAATGAAGGTGAGGCGCATACACGTTGCAGCATAATACAGTACAACAATTGATTTTTCACGCAGTGCACTCTGATGCCCACCACGCAGCCCTGCCGCAGCCTATGGCACCTGTTTTATGCGCGGCGGTGGTCACCCATCCAATCAATATCCAGGTTCGAACTCTGAACTCTGCTTGGCTTCCGAGATGTGTCCAGACCAGGTGCTATCCTGGCCATCCTCGTAGTGGCTTTTGACTGGCCATCGAACAAAGATGGTCACCACATGACGCGCTTTCAGATGCGCGTCTGCGGCCGTCTGGAACGCTCTTCCTTCCCACATTAGGAAACCACTGGGAGCTATGCACTTTTAAATCATCCACATAAAACGTTTTTTTTTTAAACTGCCTTTTGTGTTTAGGTTGCTGCTCTTCCTACACACCTCCGATTAGGGTGGTTGGCTACGTACGGTGCGAAAGAAGTTCAACATATGTGCATACGATCTGGGTGAAGGATGTTTGCTGCGCATGTGAGTCCTTATCGAAAGCAGCAGGGGGCGGCATTACGCTCTGCCACCAACCCACCACTTCCACGCTGGCTGAGTGAGACTTCAGCGTGCGCGTGGCAACGATGGTGGGCAGGATGGGAGAGGTGCCCCCCCCCCCCCCAACGCCGAGCCCACCTGCCTACCCACAACTTTTTTGCAGAAGGAGAAAAATGTGGCAAGACGCCGCCACACGCCTCACCTCCTCCTTTAATGCATAGCCTTACAACATTGAAGCCACCTTCCAGAACATTGAATTAATAAATCACCTTCAAAGACCCAGGAATACATTTCAGCTCGGGTCTGCTTCGGGTCACGACGAGAACATTTCAAGCTAAGGCTCTGCCCCCCCCCCCCCCACCCAGGTGCCCCCCCCTAAACGTGTCAAGCTAAGGATCTGCCCCATCCAATTGCACCTCATTAACGTTTCAAGCTAAGAATCTGCCCCCCCCCCCACCCAAGTTCCCCCCACTAAACGTTTCAAGCTAAGGATCTGCACTCCCTACCCAGTGCCCTCCACTAAACGTTTGAAGCTAAGCATATGCCCCCCTCATTAAAAAGCTGCCAATATTGACTTTACCGAATAGAACCAAAGAGTACACAAAGGGGCCGTCCATAAATGACGTCACGCGATTTTGGACGATTTTTGACCCCCCCTTTCGTCACACGACGTCACAAAAAGTCAGACCCCCCTTCAAATATGACGTCACAAAGCTCTGCCCCCCCCCCCCCAAATAAAACATGCTTCAAATCGCTTTAAACTATTGTCATTGTAGTGCGTATTTAATGTGGCGCTACACTCTGATGTTGTAGGATAAAACATTTATGATAAAGTATATTTAATTAAGCAGAACGTGCTGTCTATATTTATTTAAAGTTGCGCATTTTTATATGACGTCACATTTCTCACCCCCCCCCCCTCCCTCGTCACACATCGTCACAAATGTCTGACCTCCCCCCCCCCAGGTGCGTGACGTCATTTATGAACGGCCCCAAAGTAAATACGCCACGTGGATGTGTCACTGTGATCACAGCCTCGTGGTTGGCCGGTGGACTTTGGACCCATGCGGACGAATAAACTAATAATTGTGATTGAGAGAGGACGGTGATGACGAGGAGGATTATGACGACTTTTCTTCATGATGGCGATGGTGATAATCACGACGACGAAGATTACGCGTGGAATGAGGTGTAGGAAGGAGAATATTTATGATGATGATGATGATTACGAGCATAAGTCGAAGGGCACATTGATGATAATGAGGACCGTCGTGACGATAACCAGGAGGATGCTGATCACGACGCCGATCATGATGATGATGATGTCGACGATGAGAAACATGACGAGTAAGCCAGGGGGGAGTGGCAGGGTGGGCAGGGGTTGGGGGGCGTGGGGGAAGAGCTCATCACCTGGGTCTGCGTGAGTCCCAGAGAGGCGGCGAGCTCGGCGCGTTCGGGCAGCGCCAGGTACTGCGTCTGCTGGAAGCGGCGGTTGAGCGCGTGGAGCTGCAGACTCGAGTAGATGCTGCGCGCCTTGCGCGCCTTCTTGCTGCCCCTGCGTTCCGTACATCCAGGGCCCTGCAGCAAGGACGGCCGCTTCTCACCGCCTGCAGCCCCCGCAATTGCATCATCATCATCATCATGATCGTCGCTGCCGTCGTCATCAAATCATCATCATCGTCGTCGTAATCATCAGCAATATTCGTTCGTCAATCACGCATAGCCAGCGGAGGACCCTTTGCGCCAATCGTGTGACCCAACCCCCCACCCTCTTGCGACGGCATTCGCACAAACTGCTCTTGCCTGCGTACAGCAACAGCGCAATTCGCGTTATCCATTGTCATCGTCACGTGCTCGCGGGAGAACGTTGGCAGCTTGTTGGTGTAGAGCGGTGGTTCTGAACCTTTACCGCAGCCTTGCACCCCTTTGATTTAATTCTTCATCGACAAATTAAAAGCATAATGTTAATACATACATGAAACAAAGTAAGTTGCACTTACGTTCCCGTGCTGAATTTGTGTTTCGATTATTTACCTTCTAAAAAAAAAATCTGCCCATGTCTCGCACACCCACAGAAAGGGCACCCCAGATTAAGAACCACTGGTGCAGCGAGTTTCGTTTAGTTCGAATCCAGCGGCCGCCATGGTTAATCATACGCGTGTATTAACCGCGCCGTCCGCTTCACAGGTGGACATTCAACATCCCAGTGAAGCCATTCGCAAGCATCGGCCGTTGTGTTCCGGCGTCACGATCCAAATTTGCAACATTTAAAAGAAAAAGTAACTACCCACAATGTTACTTAATTGGAATCACACATTGCAATCCCAGTACATCTACTGTAAAACAAAAACAACTTGGCAGGACCCTCTTGAAAACGAATCTTGAGACTCGGCGAGGCTTTCCTGGGTGAACACGCGAATCGTACTAAAAATTGTAATCGTCATCGATACATCGTCGCTAAATGTTGCGAGAATTGATTTTCAACTTACTACAACAATAATAGGCAGGTTATTAACGCCTGTACACGTGACATTTAATTTGTGTGGACGTGTCGGGTGGTGGAGGATTCCTAATGACACAGATTTGACCTGGATCATTGTGGCCCAATTCAAAATAAAATTTAAAAAAATCATCAACACATCAATACACAGTTTCGAGTTTCAAGTTTATTTCGTACAGAATCATAACCATGACCACCATCATCGTCACTGGCATTACCATTATCATCATCATCACCATCATCACAGCACTGGAAATTGGTTATGAATTAATGGTCAAGTTTCTCATTGGCACGGCTATCAATATGACCTAAGAACTTGAGTGGCACGGTGTTGATACTTCTTCTTTGGTCGTCCCGACAGGTCTGTTCCTTTCACCTGAAGAAGGCCACTTGTGTTGTGGCCGAAACGTCGTGAGAATTTTATTGTGTTATTTTATTTTATTAATTTATTATTTTATTCTCATTCTACGTGACTTTACCGAGAGAACCAAAGAAGATGAATCCTTGCAGTCAGGAAAGCTTTAAATCGGTGTTGATACTATTACTACGCTCGCCGGGGCGCGTGATAAACTACAGACATATAGGGTAGCGTAATTAAAAGCATTATTGTTGATTCACTTTCCGGATATTCCTGTACGTACTAACATTGCATTTACAATGAATACTTGCCGTAGACTCGCTGCTCCTCTTCACGCCTTGGCTCAAGGCCACATTCTCTTTCCCAGCTGTCTACGACTATCTTTGTCTACATGAAATGAATAAAATTCCCACCGTCTCTGCACCTCCGATGAGCACGGTCGGCGAAACAGTTGCAACATGCCAGCGTCTTGGGTTGCGATCGCATTTCGCCGCCGCTGTACGGATCCACATTGTATAAACTTACGTAGGTAAATCTTGATTTGAAGCATTCGTGACTGCAGGAATCCATGCTTTTTGGTTCTTTCGGTAAAGTCACGGTAGGTAGGAAAATAAAATAAAAAAACGTCGTGATATGTTATTTTTTATTTTATTCGATTTTTATTGACATAGGTAACACAATGACTCAGAGACCCATAGACTCACACAGGGACAAAACCGACTGCTTCTCTCTCCATACAAATCGTATGATCACTGTTTCCGTACTGCGTGTTGGGATGCGGTCACATGCAGACGAAATTTATAACACGCACATTCACATTGTTTCCTATCGTATATATTGTATTTCTTCGTATTATTCTGTTATAAGCAGGCATGCAGATACAATTTCAACACTGTGTAACGAAAAAAAAATGTTCCTGGGTAGTAAGTGTTATTTACTAATTGCGTATGCCTCAAAAGTAAAGAAAATGGCTATTATTCCCCACAAACTTTGCTTTTGTGACCAAGACAGTGATATTTTGAAATGTACTTATTTTCAATGAGAAGACGTGGTGTGCATTTGTGTCATTCCTTCACGTAAAGTCCTGGTCACAAAAGCAAAGTTTGTGGGGGAATAATAATAGCCAAATGCTATTTTTATGGTAATTCATTTGTCAAGGCACCTTAATTACTCTCACACAGCTTAAAGGTCGCGGTCTGAGCTTGGCTGTGTTCACTCCAGCGCTGTCCTCGAGACAGTCTGGTCCCTTCACCTGATGAAGGCCACTTGTGTTGTGGCCGAAACGTCGTGATTTTTTGTTGTTTTATTTTTTACCTACGTGACTTTACCGAATAGAACCAAAGAGTATGGATCCTTGCAGTCACGAAAGCTTCAAATCTAGAATTAATAGCCATTTTCTATACTTTTGAGGCATAAGCAATTAGAAAACAACACTTACTACCCAGGGACAAAAATCACGTTACATAGTGAATTATCAACGATGGCATCATACATTAAACCAAACTCGAAAGTAGAATTCAACACGTTTCACACTCGTGCGTGCGATACGACACGAGTCGTGGGCCTGTATTGACGTATCTGAAGCAAACCTTTCCCACGTACGCTTTATTAGTACGTATTGTATTCGTATTTCACATGGCATGCACGAACTTTTATCCACAGGCCGTGTTGCGTGCATAAATGTACAGGGCTACCTTGGGCTTAGAGCTGCATCATTATTCGGCATCGTATGCGACTGTGCAGATGCATACGGCCATAACTAACGCACCGACTAGATTTTAGACCATGAAGAGCATCTAGTGACTTGATGATCTAGTGACTAGATGATCTAGTCACTTGATGATCAGGTGACTTGATGATCTAGTGACTAGATGATCAAGTGACAAGATGATCTAGTGACTAGATGATCAGGTGACTAGATGATCAGGTGACTAGATGATCTAGCCAATAGATGATCTAGTGACTAGATGATAAAGTGACTTGATGATCCAGTGACTAGAGGATCTAGTGACTTGATGATCTAGTGACTAGATGATCTGGTGACTAGATGATCTGGTGACTAGATGATCTAGTGACTAGATGATCTGGTGACTAGATGATCTGGTGACTAGATAATCTAGTGACTAGATGATCTAGTGACTAGATGATCTGGTGACTTGATGATCTAGTGACTAGATGATCTGGTGACTAGATGATCAGGTGACTAGATGATCAGGTGACTAGATGATCAGGTGATTAGATGATCTGGTGACTAGATGATCGAGTGACCAGATGATGTAGTGAATAGATGATCTAGTGACAAGATGATCTAGTGACAAGATAATCTAATGACTAGATGATGTAGTGACTAGATGATCAGGTGACTAGATGATCTAGTCGCTAGATTATCAAGTGACAAGATGATCAAGTGACTAGATGATCAAGTGACTAGATGATCAAGTGACTAGATGATCTAGTCACTTGATGATCAAGTGACTTGATGATCAAGTGACTAGATGATGTAGTGACTAGATGATGTAGTAACTAGATGATCTAGTGACTAGATGATCAAGTGACTAGATGATCGAGTGACTAGATGATCAAATGACTAGATGATAAAGTGACTAGATGATCAAGTGACTAGATGATCAGGTGACTAGATGGTCAGGTGACTAGATCATCTAGTGACTAGATGATCAAGTGACTAGATGATCTAGTGACTAGATGATCTAGTCACTATATGATCAGGTGACTAGATGATCTAGTGACTAGATGATCATCTAGTCACTTGATCATCTAGTCATCTGATCATCTAGTGACTAGATGATCAGGTGACTAGATGATCTACTGACTAGATGATCTAGTGACTAATTGATCTAGTGACTAGATGTTCTAGTCACTTGATGATCTAGTGACTAGATCATCAAGTCACTAGATGATCTGGTGACTAGATGATCGAGTGACTAGATGATGCAGTGACTAGATGATGTAGTCACTAGATGATCTAGTGGCTAGATGATCTAGTCACTAGATGATCAGCTGACTAGATGATCAAGTGACTACATTATCTGTTTTCGTGACATGCTTCACGTGACTAGATGATCTAGTCACTAGATGATTAAGTGACTAGATGATCAAATGACTAGATGATCAGGTTACTTGATGATGTAGTGACTAGATGATCAGGTGACTAGATGTTCTAGTCATCTAGTGACTAGATCATCAAGTCACTAAATGATCTGGTGACTAGATGATCGAGTGACTAGATGATCTAGTGACTAGTTGATGTAGCCACTAGATGGTCTAGTGGCTAGATGATCTAGTCACTAGATGATTCAGTGACTAGTTGATCTAGTCACTAGATCTAGTCACTAGATCATCTAGTGACTAGATGATCAGGTGACTAGATCATCTAGTGACCATCTAGTCACTTGACCATCTAGTGACTAGATGATCAGGTGACTTGATCTAGTGACTAGTTGATCTAGTCACTAGATCATCTAGTGACTAGATGGTCTCGTGAACAGGGTTCGACAATCTGTGGCTCCCGGAGCCACATGCTTCTCTTCGTAATGACTGTTTTCGTGACATTCTTCACGTGGCATTGCGGCTCTTCAAATATCGAGTCGATTTTTTTGTTATCGAATTCAAAACAAATCTTCTTTTTAATTTGGTTGCCGACCACTGTACTTCGAGTTGAAAAGTCAGAATTTTGGTTTTTTTGCACACTTTCTAGTCACGCGTAGGCTTATAATTATAACAATCTGATACCAGGTAAATATTTATTGTTCATCTGGGCTCCCAAGAATGATTTCGCGGAGATTAATATTTATAGTTACACTCATAGGGCAGGCTCCGCATTGCTCCGAGTCCCACGCTAAACTCTCACGCATCCACGACCCGCTTGGATCAGTGAACCGAGTAATTCGCCTGCGTACGACGCTAAAGCCGATAAAAAGCGGACCTGGTCCGCTAGCGGTCACTTGGCACGCACTGATCGATATACAGGACGCGATTAACTGTAATTACAACAAGCCATAAACGACTTAAAGCTGTGCACGTACGGCAACCAAAACCATCAAAATGAAATATACGAACGATTTTATTGCCGCATTTAGATTAGGATATTCACGCAGTCACCAACACGGGTGTAACGTATCGCGAACCGAGACGTAAACGTGGCCTTTCGCAAGTTCGCCCTGCCACTTTAACGACATTTGCGAGATGTGTACGCATGTTGGACTTCTTTCGCACCGTACGTAGCCAACCGTGCTAATCGGAGGCGCCGGGGAAGTTACAACAAATGCCCGCTGACGGTAGGTAAACATATCCAAGAGATACATGTACGGCAAAACACAAACAAATGCACCTTTGCTTTCCGTGAATCGCGTACTCATGATGTGTACATGTTAGGGCATTCGTCATGACACAATACGAGAGCAGGCATGCATACACATCGAAAAACACAAGAATATCTTGCGCAACCCATTGACCAAACGCTTCCATCTGGGTGCGCATTATTTGCAGCAGCATTGATCCAGCACACGCAAACTCTTGAACCGGGTTCAACATACAGCGTCTCATCAGCAGTGACAACACGACTAGGCTCACTAATAGGAACACTTGTAGAGAACACAGGTATGTGTGTATACACAGTAACACGTACGGGCCACAAGAAATAATCACGCATTGAACACAGGTAACATCACGTATAAGAGCATCGGTAGGAGTAGGGTTAACTCTGCAACTGACAGCACAGTTAACGGTACAGGTGAGAGCCACAGGTGAAGGCTACACGTAAGAGCACTGCGCGTGTATTATATAACATTGGCTAATGGTAAAAGTATGGTCTACAAGTATTGTAATAGCATAGGTAAAAGAGCAGGTAATAGCCCGGGTAACAACACACCTAAACTCACCGGTAAGAGCGCTGCATAAAACACACACACACACGTAACTTTACAAGTAACATCGCATGTACGAGCGAAGGTAAGCATACGTCTGAGGACAGGAAAGAGGGCAATGAACACCCACAGTAAGATCACGCCCAGGTAACAACAGGTAAGAGCCCATGTGAGCTCACAGGTATGTGTTAGATTACCATGGGATACAACAGTTTGAAGGTACAGGTTTGGTTAGAGGCCCAATAATATCCCATGTAAGAGACGCATGTGGCATGACACGCACCCAGATAAAACCACAGGAAAGAGTCCAGGTAAACCCGCATTTAAGAACGACAACTAAGAGTGCAGGCAACACTGCGAGAAATATCACATCTAAGAGCCACAGGCAACCGCACAGGTGAGAGAGTCACGGGCGAAAGAGTCACGGGTGAGAGAGAATCACGGATAAGAGAGTCACGGGCGAGAGAGTCACGGATGAGAGAGCCACGAACAAGAGAGTCACGGCGAGAGAGTCACGGGCGAGAGTGTCACGGCGAGAGAGTCACGGGCGAGAGAGTCACGGGCGAGAGAGAATCACGGATAAGAGAGTCACGGGCGAGAGAGTCACGGTGAGAGAGTCACGGGCGAGAGAGTCACGGGCGAGAGAGTCACGGGCGAGAGAGTCACGGGTGAGAAAGTCACGGATAAGAGAGTCACGGGCGAGAGAGTCACGGGCAAGAGAGTCACGGGCGAGAGAGTCACGGATAAGAGAGTCACGGGCGAGAGAGTCACGGGCGAGAGAGTCACGGATGAGAGAGTCACGGATGAGAGAGTCACGGGTGAGAGAGTCACGGGTGAGAGAGAATCACGGGCGAGAGAGTCACGGGCGAGAGAGTCACGGGTGAGAGTCACGGATGAGAAGGTCACGGGCGAGGGAGTCACGGGCGAGAGAGTCACGGGCGAGAGAGTCACGGGCGAGAGAGCCACGGGCGAGAGAGTCACGGGCGAGAGAGCCACGGGTGAGCTCCCAGGGTAATCCGCTCTGACTCACCTTCCCCGGCCCGTGGCTCGGCCCCACGTCCGCTCAGTTGGTAGGGCGGCAGGGGCTGTGAAAAGTTCCCGGCTGCCGACTCGGCGCGGAGTCTCCCCGGGTACCCCGAGGCGGCGAGGGGCCCCCCGTGCGGGACCCCGTGGCGGGGGTCTGGCTCCGCGAACCCGGGGAGCCCGGTCTTGAGGCGCGGGGGGAGCGGGGACGCCTCGTAGCGGTGCGGCGTCTGCATGGCACACGGGGGCCATGCGTGCCCCCACCGGACAGCAGCAGCAAGCAGCAACAGAAGAAGAAAAATAGCAGCGGGATCAACAGGAGAGAAATGAAAAGTAATAACAACGGGTAGCAAAAGCAACAGAAGCAAAATCAGAACAGCGGCCGCTGCAACAGCAGCATCAGCAGCAGAATTAGAAGTAACAGCAGCAGCAACGACTTGATCGAAATCGAAAGAGCAGCGGCAGCAGCGGCAGCAGGGGGTAAGTTACAGCAGCAGCAGGGGGTACGTTACAGCAGCAGCTGCATCATCGGGCAGCAGGGATCAGGATAAAGCGGCCCTGGAACGACGCGGTCGCGAGGAGTAGCGCGGGAGGCCCCGAGGAGGATCCGAGGCAGATTCACGCAGCTCCGTGGGATCGCGCGGCATCAGCGCCTCCTATATGCGGGGCACGGGAGTGGGGATCCAACCTAGACCTCCTCTACTCCTCCTCTACTCCCCTTCCTCCTCCCACGGAGGAGGCTCCCTTCACCCGCCCACCACGATCATCATCATCACACCCCTCCGCCCATAATCCCTCTCTCTCTCTCCCTCTCTCCCCATCACCTCGCTCGCCACCCATCACTTGGCTCCACCATCATCACACACTTGTGTCTCTTGGCGAATGTGCACATCACACCCAATGAATGCGTGATCAACCGAAGCGCACCTCCGGTTGGCACGGTTGGCTGTGTAGCGTGCGAAATAAGTTCAACATACATACAAGAAGACAGTGTTTCGTTATCAAAACATACCATTACAGCACCCGCATGTGCTTATGGACTCGTATCTAGCGGCACGTGTGGACTCTCTCCGATTCCGTTCAATGTCCCCTGTGGTGTTCCGTGTTTTGGTTGGCTACGTACGGCGCGAAAAAAAGGTTCAACATACATTGCAGTGCGCACACTGTAGACACGAGCACTCCAATAATCCAGCAGAATGCGACTATCGGGCAGCGCTCTGCTGATGAGTCTCGAAAAGTGTAAGCCGGCCCTGCGGTTTGCTGCTCTAACAAATGCTGCTCGAAAGCAGTGGTCGAGAAGACGCCGTGGGGTGACGAATCTCAATGTGATTTAGATGTTAACGTTTGTAGTTAAACACAATGTAATCCGATCATTGATTATTGTCCCACGTGGCATAGGCCATACGCATAATTGTGCATATGGTATAGGTGTATTGACGAATGTAAGAGATCGCCTCTCGATTTGAGAACATCTGCTGTATGCACTGTAGGTAATAACCAGGCACGCGCATGCATGCATAGGACACGACTGTTCAACGTTTTTTGTCACAGTGCGTGTGTGTTTTGATTGCAGTATCTTGATGGTGGCAAATTGAGTGCAAAAGCTGTGCCGGTTTCAATGCGCGGCGGAATCAGAGTAAAGTGCCGAGCATCGCGTGCGGTGTTTGTGCAACGGGGCCTGTGCATAAAGCGACGAATATATGAACCGGTCCTGGGCCTCCCCTAGGTCGACTCGGCCTCAAATGAGTACCTGGTGCGGTGTGTAAACATCGACTCTACAAGGGATGCAAAGGCGGCCGGGCGTGGTGCTGGCCACCGACTCCCGCGTGTTGCCGTGCCGGCCTTCATAGGTGCTCGCTAACAGCACTTGCCCCTACAGTCTGTTACAGGCTATACGGGGGACCTTTGTCTGTGCGCTATGCCACTGTGGCAGTACAGGCGACACGATCAATAACAAGTCATTACGTATAAACAATTACGCAACGAGAGGACTTATTTTCAACATCGGCCATGTTCGATCCACTGCTAGATGAAGCCCCCTCTCCCCGAACCGTCGCCGTGCTGCACGAATTGTGCGATGCGAAATTCCACCCAGGACCTGCACACGAGCTGATTTCATCGCTTCATCTCCTCGGTGGACGTTCACTCGGACGCCTTCCGTCAACTTGGGGGTGGCGCTCCGTCATTATTCTTGACCGTCGATCATTTGCTGTTATTGGTAGTTGTAAAGTGAAGGTTTAACGGTGGTTGTAAGGTGATTGAAAGTAAGAATATCGGTGGTTGTAAAATGAGTGATGATTGGCTACGTTCTGTAGACGGCTGTTCCGACTTCATGTGGCTTGGCCCAACACGCTTAAACCGCTCAGCTGGAGATCTGTGAAAAAGAGCTTTACAGCTCATCGGATTCCTCCAGCATAAATACATATTCTGATTCTGAGCTGCTTCCAATGACGCGTGAGTGAGCGGCTCATCCATGGCTTGGCTCAGTGCTCGGCTCGGGGAAATTCTCGGCGTGGCTGGAGCCACACGCTCAGAACCGGCTCAAGTTCAGTGCGTGGCTTTGAGCCGGCTCCCTTAAGCCAGAGGCGACTCAGCCTGAAATGAGTATCTGGTGCGATGTTCAGTAAACATCGCACCAGATACTCATGTTCAGTAAACATCGCCACTAGGGAGACAAAGGCTGTCGGGCGTGGTGCTGACCACCCACCCTCTCGTCTGCCGTTCCGGCCTTCATCGACCCCAAGAGTCTGTTCAGGCTATACGAAGTGTCTTTGTGTCTACTGTATATGAATTTGTTTTTAACAACGAGATATTGCATGTGCACACACATGCACTTGACGTGCATTCGTGTGTTATTCTTATTTTGTCAGTAGCGTCACCACGATCACAAACACACGTTTCCATAAGCAGAGTACATTTCCGATGAAATGTTAATACTTGTTTTCCCGCACTCCATTGCATTGTCAAAATACTCGATCCATTATAATGTATTAATATGTGTATACACAACGCGACGAGCTTAGAGAAATCACGACCTTGTATCATATACAATGTGCCGTGCAACGTTTCGGGCAATGGCTCTTCTGCTGCATCCTCCATGGGCCGAGTCCTTTCTAAAAGACGTCGGCGAACATGGCCTTCTCTATGATAAAGGTTTTTTTGGGTTAGATCGCGTAAAAATTAATGTGTCGTTAAACCCGCCACCACCCGACACAGCCAATTAATAAGGTTTGTCACGCGAACAGCACATGCCAATTCGTTACTAGTACAGCGCACCGTTTGTGTGTTGGAGAGTAAATCCACAACATTTACAATCATACTAATTTGGCTGTGTCGGGTGGTGGCGGGTTCAACGACACATTTATATGTACGCGATCTAGCCCCCCCCAAAAACCCCTGTATCATGGATAATATTGGTCGCGAAAGCCTACTACGCGTTTAAATGGCCTTCTCTTCCATGTAGCTCTTGACCTTGACATTTACAAAATCGTGTATGGTGTAACTCAAAATCGTCTAACGTGCACAGTCAAAAAAAATAAACAACATTTAAAATTTCGATTTAAAGCTTTCGTGACTGCAGGGATTCATCTTCTTGGTTCTTTCGGTAAAGTCACCACGTAGAATGGAAATAAAATAATAAAAATAAAACATAATAAAATAAAATTCTCACGACGTTTCGGCCACAACACAAATAGCCTTCCTCAGGTGAAGAGACAGGACTGTCCAGAAGACAGCGCTTGAGTGAACACTGCCAAGCATGGACAGCGTCTTTTAAGCTGTGTGGGAGGAACAGAGCGCCTTGACAAAGGAGTTAACATATAAATTAGCATGTCCGTATGAGGGACAAGCTTGTGCTCAGACGGACGAGTCCATCTATGTTCGGAACGGAGGAGGGGGGGGGGGGGGAAGAGGAGGAAACAGCCACGGTACGCTGCTCTGTCCTGTGTTGCGTTATAACCATGCTATAAACTGGACTACTATACAATATTATACCTTCCAATCTAAACTACGTGGTATAATATCGTATCCATAGGCATTTTTTAAAAAAAATCTCTCGTCTTCTCATTACACACGGCCAAGGCACCGAAACGTTGACCTTACCCCCCCGCCTCCCCTTGCGGCCTCACTGGTCGACTCGTGGGTGGTGGCGGTGGGCTAACGACACATTTATATTTATATTCAGGCGATCTAACCACCCCCCTCCCCCCCCCCCAAAAAAAAAATCCTTAATTATGAACAATTTTGGCCGTGAAAGCCTTCGTGCTAAACTGGTCCGTGTGCATGTAGAACTTCTTTCACGCCGTACGTAGCCACCCGTACTAATCGGAGGTTCGCCACGGTTAAGTCGATCGACAGGCAGGTCCGTCCGCGTGTGGTGGGGTGAAGCGTGGCCATAGCCACATCTGCCGACTAAATTCCACTGGAAACGGTTATCGGTTCCAGACTTTCGGATCCGAGAACCGAATCTCAAAACGGTTACCGTTTACCGGCAGAGTGAGTACACAGCCTCACTAACTCGCTTTAACTCACTCCGGCCCTCACTTTTGAGGCCCAGATTCCAAAGTTTTCATTTTCAATGGCAGGATCAGAATATGTATTTATACTGGGGGAATCCGATGAGCTATAAAGCTCTTTTTCACAGATGCCCGGTAGGGGCGGGTAAGAATGCTACAACAAATAGTACAACACATAATAGAAGTGCAAAGTACAAGAAAGGTAAACAAAATGTAATACTCTTTGGTTCTTTCGATAAAGTCACGTAGGTCGAAAAATAACAGATGACGACGTTTCGATCGCAACCATATGCAACCGTAATCAGGTGGGACAACCACAGCAAGAAAAAACAAGTGCTGAAGAAGTAGGCCAGAGAGCTGCCGTGGCACGAGGTTATATAGTAGGCCTCGGCAGTAGGGGGGGAGAGAGAAGGGGGGGGGCAGAAAGTGGACCCCGCAGCAGCACCCGGCTCACTGGAGTCAAGATCGGAGAGAGAGGCACAGAGAGAGAAAGAGAGAAAGACACACAAAGTCGGAAATAATAGCTGACATAGGCAGGTAGGATGGAGACATCACAGCCAGTTAAGACTTTACCTTGGTTAATAACGTTATCCCAATGATTGCTCAGTTTGTACCCATCTTTAGAATGGACATAACTCATTCGGTCACGATCATCTCTACATTATATCCTCATGTAAATAAATACTTGCCAATTTATATTTGTAATATCATTAGATTTTTAT